AGCAGCATCTCCATCAGCTTCCCAGTTTCAGATACAGTGAAAGTCTATTTGAAGTTATTCAGTCTGTCATATGAAAATTCAGGTCTCCTGTTTCTAAAGCAACAAGGTAATGGTCTACTCAGTGGGAATTTCTTCTTTCCATCTCTTTCTCCCACGAGTCTTTTTGGTAGCTAAAATTCATACACCCAGAAGAGTGACTTCTTAATTGTTTCATATCATGGATACACCAGGGAGGCACCAGATAGTCAAACCTAGTCTCACAAATATATTTTTTTGTTCCCTACTTCTTCACAGCACCTCCACATGACTCTGTTTAACTTGAAGCAAATGTTATTTAATTAAGCATTTTTCTGATCTCTTGCACAACGTCATACAATGTCTTTATTGTAATTCACAGAATCTGAGAAGGACATGCCAGATGATTTCAGTTATCCTGATTTGGAGGGACAGACCCCCTAAGTAATACAAAGCAGGGATACAGCCGTTCCAACCCAGAGATATTTTAATTAAAAAACAAAGTAATTTGATTCCAACGGATGACAGCGTGACCTAATCCAACCTGATATGCATGTCATATATAAAAATTTAAAGTTACAACCACAAAAACCCACACAATTCAGATACAATCTGTAAATATAGAGTTGGTCAGAGCACTGGCCATTTACAAAACAGGAGGTGTAGGTATTCATCTCGTTACTCAGCTGCATCTAGTCTTTGCTGTTAATCACTGAAAACATGTTTACCTTTCAACATAAGCTCTGTGTGACATGGGAAAGGAGGGAAGAGGTTAGGCAGATAATTTTGCAGCCTGCAACAAGAGAAACAAGAGAGGAAAAGACATTAATTTTAATTAGGTGAAATTGAGTTTGCAAGTTTAACTGTGACCAGGTAAGTTAAAGTTGGAGCCAAAGGCAGAGGAGAAGAGCATTTGCTGCAGTTATACTGCACAGGGCCATAACTGCAAAGGCAGCTTAGTCAGGAATTGTGCCGACCTTCTTCCCAGCCATGCAGCACACTACAGCATGGTGTGCCAGCACTTACACCTGAGCTCACACTACAGAAGCATCCCACTGATCTTAGGTAAAATAAAAGAAAAAAGAATTTTCAGAGATTCTGTGAGTGTATTTACAGCCACGCACCCACAACAATGCAGCTGGATGTCTTAAGCAAGCACTTTGACTAGCAGAAAACACAGCTTAAAACTACAGCCAGGAAAACAACTGTGCCTAATCCCTGTACAGCAGCACGGGGACTCAGTCAGGAATGGGTGCAAAGCTGCTCCCCTGAAGCCTCCTGAGGCACATAGTCAACACCTGAGTATTCCATGATATTCCTTGTTGCACACTAAGTGAACAGACTGGAGGGGGCTGTGTGTTTGGCCTCACACTCCAGTCATGTGTTCTCCTCCCCCTCACAAAACTGCAGCAAACAGCACAACACCTGCACCTGACACAGGAGACCAAAATGAAAGAAAGTGCAGCAGAGACCCCAGAGCTGCAGGATCTGTCCTGTCTGAGCTCTTCCTTATCAAACATGCACAAGACTCCCTTTCCTCAGTAGATGAAGCCTTGAGCATCTGCAGGCAGAGTAATCTGTGTACATACCAGTCATATTTTATTCTCTTTATATAGCTCTGGCAAAGAACTTCAGCAAGTTGCTTATTTCAAACATCTGAGCCTCTAGTTTCTGAAAACATGAAATGACACTAGGGCTAATAAAATCTGCTTGAACTGATGTGATTATTTAATACTAATGAAAAAAGCTCAAGCAAGCAAGTACTTCACACACTGAAGACAGATGGTTAAAGCTGACCAGCACAGGTGTTGTGAGAAGTGATGGACACACTAAAGAAAACTAACATAAGATGCTGTCTCAGAAAATGTGAGGACATACAAAATGAGGACATAAAAGAAAGCAGTCAAGCTTTCCCCACAGAGCCATGAAAGTGACAACAAACCAGGAACAGCAGCTACTCTGAGAAACTTGAAATCACTATGTCATGGCAGAGAGTTTAAACTAGAAGATTTTTAAAGGTCCCTTTCAACTAAAATAATTTTGTCATTTGGTTCCTGCAACAAACTCATTACGTGATACCGCACAGTTCAAGTTCAGCATGTGTGTATCTCCTCTGTTTAAAAGCCAACATTTCAAAGAACAAATACCTTTATCCCCCCCAAAAAAATCTAAATGGATTTTCGTAATCAGAGAGCATATTGACACATCTGTAAAGACTGTTTCTTGTATGAAGACGGACAAGTCTTTAATTTGGCACTTCAACTTAATTGAGTCTACAGCAAAACATCACTAAAATGAGTCCTTGAAGTTTGAGAAATTCTGTTTCATAGGAAATCAACTTTTTCTACTTTCTCTGTCCTGTCCAACTGGATTTCTGTATAATTTCTAATTTTGTCATTTTTAATCTGGCTGGCATCATGTTCAGCCCGACATATTCACCATATGTATATGTGAAAGGCACTCCTGAATGACCTAAAGTGAATTATCTCTCCAATAAAAAAATACCTCTGTGTCAGTTTAATGCTATACAAATATCTCCATTAATATTTATAGCCCTTACTCAGCACATTGTTCAATGTCAGTGTTGGATGTAGAAATATAGGATTAGCATGATGTAAACAAATTAACAGATATGAAAGAATGTAATCTCTCTCTGCAGCTAATGATAAACCCATCAATTCGGCAAGGCAGAGAGTACACTTTAAATCTAATAATATTTCACAGTTTCATTTGTCTTGTGTTTCAGCAACTATGATAAACTTTCATAGGATTAGCAAATAAGAAGATAGATGTTCTATTCATGACTGAGTACACAGTAACTGAATAATTTTAGGCAATAAGCAATAACTTTTTCTTGTACCATAGGGAGCAATTACTTAAGCACCTCATTCTATCTGTTCCAGATGTTTTTCAGGGACTATAAAACTCAAGACAATCCAGAATCCTACATGGCAGAACTGTTTACCTACCTCTACCACCTCTACCTACTGCTGCCACTCTGTCAATGCTGATGACCTACTTTTCAAGCAAATAAGGTACAGATTATCACATTGTACCTGTCCTGTCACCTTCTAAAAAACCTTTGAACCTACGGGCTCATGATTTGAATGAAGCACGAAGACAGAAGGAAAGGCTCTCAGATAAAATGTAAGTTGCAGCATCTCTGGAAATATCTTCTTGGAAAGGAACCCTGCAAAACTAGAAAAGTGAAACTCAAAACATCAAAATCTTGGGCTTGTTTACCAATTAAAGTCAAGATTAATAAAATCATAGTGCTCAGCTGGCTGGGGCAAGGCGTCCTGGCACATATTACTTGCAGTGGCAAATAAAATTGTTCAGCAGTCAGGGCTCTTTCCTCACTGCTGGGTAGGGTTACGTCAGGAAACTGTTACAGATCACTAGTTATATTTCCAACATATCAGGCTGCCTAATAATAGATTCCATTTCCATTGCAAGAGTGTGCTACATATCACCTAATCTTCTGCATTAATTCCAGCTGCATTTTTTCAGACCGACCACTAATTTAACATCGGTTTCATATTTAAAGAATTCAGAATGTATTGTTAGCAGGAAGTGAGCTTTTAAAAGAATCTGAAGGCATACGTGCCCTGATCATACCCAGGATATCCCCACAGTTTCTTTAGGATGTGTAAAACATGGTACTACTTTTATACAAACGTGGTGAAATATGACTACCACTGCCATAAGACCATATAAAATGGATGGAAATCCATATGAGATAACCAAGACTACATTTTAGGACTGGAGTTGCATTTATGACTATTCAGAATACTCAATATTCTTTCCACATGCACTGAGTAAACAACCCAGGAAGAAAACTCACACAGTAGTTACATTCAGCTGACAAATGAAAGGGGAAAAAAAATAGACAAACTAACTGTATCTTTGTCATGTTTTAATACAAATGAATGAAGAGAATCACAGAAAGGGGAATGAAGTGAATGAGTGAATCCCAGAAAGTCAGTAAAAACTGTTTGAAGCCAAGCTGGATTTTCCTGCCTTGGACCAGATGAGGGAACATTACTTGCATGTAGGTCTGCCCTACTTAGTTGTTGCATCCCTCTTGCTTAATGAGGTGTGCAAACACAGTAACTCTGTGCACAGCACTTCAATACAGGCTGCTCCTTACATACCTGGCTTTAATCTTGAGAATTATTAATGAGCCAGAATCATATTAGACACTTGAAGCCCATAGCACTGCTGAGAACTACTTGGGCATTTGCAGGCAGCCATGCAGGGTGTATGGACTCCACCTCACCCAAGCCTTGCAACACACTCCACTAAACGTCAGACCCTCAGCAAGAAGGCAGCGCACACAGGATGTGCCACCCATGGATAGATTTCTGTCACGGCTACGCAGGAGAAACCAGACACAGGCTTGGCATGAGAGCAGCTCTGTAACCATTGCACAGGGCACACAGGGCAGTGTAGAGCCAGCTGAGTCACCCTGCCTTTGCTGGAGCACCTACCTGGCTCAGGAAAAGCTTCACCATCACACAGTGTTCCCCCAGCCAGGCCAGCAAAACCCAACATGTACACAGGGTTAGCCTGCAGCTAGAGGCAACAGGTTTCAAGGGCTCTGTCTTCACTGACTTGTTTGGTGTTCAAGTGTTGCAACTTTTCCCCATCAGCTTTCTCTGAACCTCTTCCACTAGTCCTCCCCCATGCTTTTTCTTGCTCTCTGTTACTGACTTTTCTTCTTGCTGTATCCATTCCAAAAAAGGACAGCAAAGATGACATTGATGTCACAATTTCCCTTTTTTAATCAGGTTTACCTTCTTAATAGCCCTATTAAGCTTTCTGCAGCAGCTTCAATCTACTGAACTGTGGTTGTGTAACAAGAGAGGCCCCCAGGAACACAAGGCTATGGGCACCTTGCTTAGAACCACTCACCTGTGGACTTCAGTGAGCATCTCTCCAAGCTCCATATAAAGATTATGAACTTGCATAAAACCAAGTCAGCATTTCCTTTCACGGTTTCAACAATCACATTTATTCCTTGGTTTTAAAAGGTTTTGGTTCAACAGTTTTATAAAGAGGCTTCACAAAATGTGCAATATTTATAAACATGGTTGTTAGCCACAGTGGTAATAAGAATCTTTACTTTCATCATAATGTTCACTTCAGTTACACAACACAAGGCTGATTTTGTTTCCTCTCTTCTCCCTCCCACAATTGGCAATTAAATTGTAATTGGAAAAACTTTAAAAAGACAAAAAAGTTAATCTAAGCATGATGTTAAAAGCACCTTGCCACAGTACTACATTTTAATAAGGCAAATTCTTGTTTTGTAAAGCCTAATCGTGCAACTTGGAGACCTATAGAAGGTGGCAGAAATTCCAGCCTTCTCCTATAAAGACCAGGCCTTCATTTTTGCTTCAAAGTGTTCACCTTTCCAAACCAACCCCCCTTAAAAAAAGTACAGCTGATAATACAGCAGAACATCCCCTTTACAGGGTGAAAGGAAATTACAGTAGACAAGGGCTGAAAACACGGGGCATAGTACACAAAATAAGACTATTTTAAAAAATAACATTTAAAAAAAAGAAATAAAAGAAGGAAAAGGAACTGAACAAGCAACAATGGAATTTTTCTAGTGGAAAGAGGATTTGTGGGCTTCATAAATAAGTGGAAAATTACTAAAACACTTTGCTATATAATATAAAAAGGCGCAAAGTGTTTTCCAGTTGTCACCTAAGTGTTAGATGCAACTTTGTAGGAGTAAGTATTTGGAGGCAGCTTGGAGCTCTGATTGGTGCAGGCATTCCAGCAGGGCAGCGCTGCCAACAGCAGGAGAAATCCACCCAGCAGGACACAAAGGCCACTGAAATAAAAAGCAGTGTTGTACTCCTGTGTCCAGTCGTAAAACCAGCCTGAGGGTGGGGATAAAAGAGAAGAGCATCAGTGAAATGTAATACAGCACTGATAACGTAGAGAAACAACATATGAATTTAAAATCCACAAACAACAAAATAAAAAATAATTAATAGAAAACCTAAAATACTGTTTGACCTCTTAGACATGAAATGTGTTTTTCCTCAAAGCCAAATTACAAACACAATCAGCCAAACAGCCTTTATTTTTTGTTGCAGATTTTGATTTCATCTTGCCATTATTATTAGACATGCAATAACATTCTGTCTGGTTGTGACAAGCTCATGTTCAGTTTATACTGTCCACCTTGCCCTTACCTACAATTGGTGGTCCAAGGCTATTGCCAAGTCCAGCGAAGAACATCAATATCCCATAGGCATGAGTCAGTTTCTCAATCCCCACAGTCTTTGTTGTTACATATGGAAAAATCGACCAGTTCCCAGTCAGAAAACCCAAGATCCCAGAAAGCATCGCTAATGTAAGATAACTTTTGGCAAATGGAATTGCAAACAAGGCCACTCCTGTCATTAATAAGGTAGTTACATAGAGATATAAAGTGTTAACCCACTTAAAATCTGCCAGTATTCCTAAAATCAGTTTGCCAACAGTCGTCATAATGCCAATAATGGAAATAAGAGGCATAAAATAGTCATCTTCACTAATGTTTGCACTTCTTGCTACATCTTCCATGAGCAAAGAAGGAGGAAATCCACCAATATCAAAGAGCAAGATGGCAACAAAAAGAGCTGAAAATACTTTGTTCTTGAAAAGAACCATGGTCTCCTTCCAGTAGGTCAAATAGAGTTGCCACTTCCTTTTGGCAAATTGCTTGCAGAAGTTTGTCTGTTCTACAACTTTCTTTTTGTAAGTGTCTTTCTCATTTACATTTATTGAACTCAATACATTCTTATTCAAAATTATATCCTGTTTGCAATCAGGCACATTGTTCACACATTTTTCATCAATATAGCCCTTTTCAAGGATGCTGATATTTTCTTCAATGGTCTTTTCCTTTCCATGGTAAACAAAATATTGATCTGGGACTTTGTCTACACACATTTTCTCTGGTCGAGGAGAATTGGGTGATTCCAAAGGTCTCATTAGGCTGCCACATGCCAATATATTTAGAGATAGGGCACCAACTATTAGCAGGCACCCATCCAGTCCATACAGCTCAATAAGCTCTCTTTGCAGTGCTGCATATATAAAGAGTCCAACACTTGAGCCTATAAAAGAAAAATAAATTTGGTTTAAACTGAAGAAGCAAGACCATTCTTCAACTCTAACAAAATTCCACAATTCAGCAGCTGTGAATACACTGCCACAGAAATGGTAATTCATTTGTCCTCCTCTCTCCCAAGTTCAATGAACTGGTAAGTCATGATCACTCCTAAAGTTACAGTTTCTTTATTGAGCAGCCACAAAATAAAAAATTCTCTCAAAATATCTGAACAATTTGTGACAAATAACACTAGCAGACACTTTATAGACAAGTAGGATCAACACTATCTGATTTAAAACATCAAAGAACTATTAAGCCACCTTTCTGCCCTGCACTCATGTACGTGTATCCCTTCAGGTACCATTTTGAGTTAGCACAGTTGGAATTTCTCACTCCAACATTTTGCTCGTTTTTATCTTTACTGCCACCTTCCTCCTCCCAGGCAGAAACAGACCAGGAGCTCACCAAGACCCCTCCTAGAAGCAGCCCTTAACTGCCTGGTGTTTAAGGAGCAGGGTTTGACTGGTGGGAGTTTACTCCAAAGGCATTTCTGAAGCTCTACAAGACTAAACAGGCATTTGAGAAACTTGACCATTCAGAAGAAAACACCAAAGAGTGAGAAATTACTATGAACATAAGCATTTAATGCAATCTCAGTAATTTAAAGAAAAGGTTCTTGTTGAAGCGAGGACTTATCCATTTTAACTAGTGGATGTCATCTCACATACACAGAACATTGGTTTTCAAGTCAATTTAATGACAAACTTTAAAATTATTTGCTGAAGACTGTCTCTAGGTTATATTCAAGCCATTTATATACTTTGGTGCTAAACACGGGAAAAATCAATTATAAAATCCATGCTTGTTTTGCCTTACAGGTACTAAAATTAGCCAGGGCACAGTAAGATCAGGCTTTAAGGCAACCTACCTAGAATCCAAAACAAAGCCACTGAAAATAATCCCAAGTAACATTTCTGCAGAAGCTCCTATTTACTCCGCTTGTGTGGATGTGGTATTAGTATCTCACAACACTGGCTATATCTGATAGTCACTGATCCTGTGTCTCCTCACTGACAGCTGCTCGAGAAAAGAGGTCAGAGCAGACTCTCCACAGCGCACACAAAGCAAGGCATGGGACAACAGCCATCTGTAACTGTTCCTACTCAGGCCTTTAAAAAGTGTAAAGGTAGAGCTCATGTGAGGTAGTGGTGATGCAGCATTTATATCCTACATCTCCAATCTCTTTCTCACCTCTGATCCTGGGTAAGAGCTAAGAGAAAAAAGAGGACTCTATGGAAGGTTTCCCCTCATTATCCATGGCATGCAGCCCAAGCTACATGAGTCTGCTTTCAGTTCAGTGAATATCCTTTCCTTAAGCCTGCAAGTGTTATTATTTTATCTGGAACCTGAGTTTTTCTCTTCATTGTTACTGATATTTTGATTTAAGAAAGTAGTAACTTTCTTAAGTTACTGAGAAGTAACTGAGAAAAACATCATGTTCTAGTTTTTATTGCCAGGGTGACAATAAAATAAATTGTGGTGGCTGTATCAGAGTTGAAAAGCTGGAAAGAATGACAAGAAGTCCTACCTGTTGAAATCAGACCAAGTGCAAGGCCTCTTCGTTTATCAAAATACTGGCACGTGATGGTAACTGTTGCAGTATACAAAAGGCCACATCCAAGACCTGGATAAAGAGAATTAGATATAAAACATGCTACATCCTCCAGGAAATGAATGCCCCTTTGTTATCCCCCAGGTGATGTCATGGTGTACTGTGGTACACCATGGTACTGAGGTACCTTTTAACTCTGCTTCAGCACAGGGCGACCAAGCTGCCTGCACTGTCCCACCTCCCTTCCCCTGACCAGCCCTGGCTGCTGAGCCCGGGTGGAGCAGGCTGGGCTTGAGGAGCTCCCGAGCTGAGTTCTGTGCTCTGTGGAAGGGCTACAGGGCTCTGTGCCCAGGGCTGGCCCCAGAGCTGCCTCCCGTGGCATCGTGCCCGGCCAGCACGACGCCGGGACCGCTGGCCAGCGAGGTGCCCAAATGCCTGACACAGTTAATTTGATAAGCCACCCACAGCAGCACAGAGGGGCAGGTCACCACCTGCCAGGAGAACAGCATTTCCATGCCTCTAGCACAGCATTTTATGTTCAGTTCAGTCATGTGGAGAACAACATTGCTCCCTAATGATCTCTAATTTATCAAATTAGAATGAGTATATGACAAAATTCCAGAAGAGATATTATTCCTTAAAGATTGGCATTTCATGCCAGCAGAAGATGTGTTGGATTCCAGTCCTTAGGTAAAACCTCAGCTTCTTCATCTCTAACAATTGTGTCAATAGAGGGCAAACTGTTTTCAAAACGTTGTGAACATTTACATTTTTATCTTTTACTACATGGTAACAGCCTGCCCCTGCATCATCCCTCCGAGTCCAAAAGTAAAGTACTCCTTCATAAATCAAGTCCCAGACTACCACTGCCTCTACGAATCTGTTTCCCACTTCATAAACCAAGACTCAAAATAATAAAGATTAAGCCTGAAAATGAAGGGTAGGTGTTCCTTACCAACAACTATCCCATATGAAACATATAGGAAGTATATGTTAGGTGCAAAACTGCTCATCATGAGGCCCCCAGCCACCATAAAGCCACTGAAGATAGCTACTGGTCTTGCTCCAAAAGATGATACACATATACTGCAGACAGGACCTAGAGGGGAAAAAACAGGAAAAACACTCCCAGTAAACACCAGCACCAGCAAGAACTTCTAAAAAATATCAATCTGTGGAAATGTTCCTTATGATAACTATTTAAATGTATAATTATATTAGATAACAATTCAGAGGACTCCTTTTCACAGGGTTCTCTAAAGCAGTCAGTTATAAAAATATTCAAGGTCAGGCTTGCAAAATATTTTCTCAAGGAGAAACCGAACATCAAGGCCATGAAAGGGTCCTCGGGTTTGGAGGGAAAAAGCAACCGAAACATTCCTTACACATAGGAAGATACAAAACATACTGGACTGTATCTGAAAAGAATCTTCGTCTTGAGACACGAAACCAAGGCAGACCATCAGCCAGGCCTAAAGCGAGCAGGTATTTTTTTGACAGAGCACAAAAACCGTGTTTCCGAAACGCAGGATCTGTATTCGTCTTGATATGCGATTTATAAAACTGAAATGGAAAAACAGTACCCTGGGACCAGAGTCGCTGTAAGAATGCCACCTGGTGCTTAAACAGAGGGAATATCTGCTGGTATAGGACAAACACCACTCTCCGCTGAGATTCAAGGGAATTAAATACCCGCCAGTCAGGTGTCCTACCAAAGAACCCTTTACTAACCTATCTCTGCTTCTCCTGTAAAACTACAGAAAATAAAAGTCACTTCCTCGGAGCAGCCAGACCAACATTCAAGTTCATGAGGGGTTATTCCCCAATATTTCTTGGTCCTTAATTCTCTTAGTTCTTCAAACAAGAACAAAGTGAAGCAGAATTCATATCCTGCCTCTACTCAGTCAGTTGTCTCCTCACAGAAATTGTAGAACAAGGACTTATTTTCAGTTGTGTGACCTGGAATACACCTTTTAATCTTAAGTAGCATGCAAGGTTGGTGCCCTGCATAAATAATCAACCAGAAAGGGACTTGGCTTGCAAAGACAACTTATCTGAATAAGTTTCAAACTTCATACAGTTTCAAGCCTTCATACATAAACTTAGATATTAGCTCCATTTCTAAACTCAGCAACTCTTGGATTAGAAGTTAGATACACAGACGAATGGCATTATTTAATACAAACAAATAAAACCACCTCACAACATCTGCATCTCATTTAAAGTGATACACACACACGCCATGGTCGATTCAATCTTCAAAAGCAGTAATTTTGGAGTCTGCCATTTGTCAAGGTTAGTGCTCCCTGACTCACGTAACTGAGATTCCCAGCAGATGGGAGGTGTGCCCAGAAAGGTGATACGAGGTAAACAGTTGGAGCCTGGGGATGGTGCTTGCCTAGGTTTGTAGACAGGAGTGAGCAGCTGGGAATGCAGGCAAGGTTTTCCTGTGCTTGCCAGCCTTGGGACAAGCAGTTCTGGCAGGCAGGAGCAGAGGTTTGTCAGCAGGTGAAACGATCCTCAAAGCCAAGGCAGGCCAGAACTTTTGCCCTACATTAGAGCTATCTGCCCGGGGAACATACAGGGGGGTGAGTCTGAGCTGGGGTTTATCCAGGCAAAGAATAAGAGTTAGAGAGGAATCAAGAAAATATTCCAGGAAAGAAAGGTTTAATTGGATTTTGGAAGCAAAGAAAAAGGAAGATCTAAGCACTTGTTGCTTCTCAAGAACCAGCACACTGTGGGAAGGAAAGCTGGCCAGCATAACCTGGGCAGAGTAACATGCTGAGAACTAAAGCTTAGAGCATTAGATTGTTGCTGATTCTTAGAATTAATTACTAAAACTGGCAAATTAAGATTGGTATGTTTCCTAGAACCATAGGATTTAAAAATGAACAAAGGATTGACTCTGTATTATATAAAGAATTCTTCTACACTAAAAGAACAGAAGGTAGTGTTGGCATAATTCAATTAAGCAGAGGAATTTGCACTCTTTCTATTCTTTATTTCTGACCTACTACCTTTCTAAGACAAATCGCATTTCCCTTCCACCTGCTCTCTATATTTGACACAGCTATTTTCAGAAGGTCTCTGTCCAGTCTGGGGTGGTGATACTGGTACAGACATCACTGAACCCTACTAGAGTATCTGAGGTGAAACTGGACCCTCTGACCCCAAGACACACCAAGAGAGACACAGAGCTGGAAGATGTGGCTTCATAACCTGACAAGGACATCTCCACTGGAGTATGATCAAAAGCATCCCTGACAAAGGCCCAAGGAAATGCTCTTCCAGCTTATCCCACTTACAAAATCTAATCCCAAAGGAGAACAAAGAGTACAAGAGATCTTTTTGCTCTAACATGGAAAACAATCTGCTCCAGTAAGCTCAATATTAATCTGCCATCTCACACAGCAAGACATCTGGCAACTTAGCAACAGCCCTGTTAATAAGAAGGAGCACCAGGATAAGCATTAAAATAGTTATTATAGGTCTCTGAGTTGAGCAGAAAAACAGCTGTCTTCCCCTTCACACTAGGCACAACTTTCACACACTTCACACTGCTAGAAAATGAATCACAAAAGAAAATCCCCCTGACAGCCAGCATCTTTGTCCTTTCCTGCCTCCTTGCACTGCTTCCCTTTTTTTGTTTCCCAAACCCTGGCATTTTTTTTCTGCCAGGCACAGCACCTTATTACCATGGTATACCATGGTATTTGCACAGGAGCTGACTACACACGAACATGTTAGTCTTTACAAATATTTGAAGCACAATGAGTTCAAGGTAGTAAATTCTAGTAAAAATCCAACTTTCACAGAGTGGGACTGAAACCTGCCCTGTGGATTTTGCACAAAGTGGGCATTCTGAAGAATGCAGGAGTCTGCATATAGCCCATAGGAAACAGATCTTCAGGCAGCATAAGAGTTTTCATTAGCTGGCTCTCACCATAATATGAACAATATTAAAAAAACTCCCACTGGCAATCCTCAATAGTAAGCATGAAAAATAGCTTTTAAGCCAGCATTTTGTTCAGTTTGCCAGCAGCTCCAGGGGTTAGCACTGGAACCAGTGCAATATTTGATAACATTGATAAATATTTACCTCTTTTACAAATAAAATCCCTAGGGCTTTTTCCTTTCCAAATGATGTATCTTTAAACTAGACCAAACTCAATCAAAAAAAAGATAGCAGCACAGTTTACTGGAATGAAAGCTAACTCTAGGAAGAAAGACTCAGCACAGGAACAGGCACTGCTCTTCTGCACATGACCTGTCATGGCTCACAGTCAGCAACACGATTATCAAGGGAGCAGTCAACAAGATCCCCAGACAAAATGGGAAGCAGCAGCAGAAAGAAGATTGGTTTTCACAGCAGATCTTACAGAGAGACCAAAGAGGAAGACCACCAAGGAGCAATCATTTGTACATTGGCATTTTTATTAAGATTATTTTGAATTAATTACTTTACCCTCAGTGAGACCTGGATGTGTCATGTCTTCCTAAGTCATGAACACAAGCCACCGGCAGCACTCAGGAACTTAAACCTATAGAAACTGACCTCTTGACAAGTACAAAGTTGTTTTGTTTTATGGACATCAAGAACTAGGACTTTCTTCCTTAATATTTTTACATAAAGTGAAAAAAACCTGCAAAACAACACTCCCTCCCTCCACCCAGTAATCTCAAGGGTCCTCCCTCCTTCACTTCATACACAAAATCCTTTTACTAAACAAACTGTATTGGATAACTGAGTTCTTTTTCTTATCCTCTGCATTAATCTGACCCACCCTACCTGGGCATCTGTCCGAGCCTGTTTAAACTGTAGAGTAGAAAAAATGGTCATGGGACTGCATGTGAAATCTACTGGACAGAATACAAGAATATTTTATGCGTATTAAGTGCGCTTCTAAAACCTGGTTATAATAAATATAATATTCTCCAAATGCCTGTACTTTGGATATGAATATAGATCAGAAAAGAAATTTTACACTGGGCAGCAACCCACTCCCAACTGGTTGGAAATACAGTTCCCTTCTAAAAAACGTTATATGAACTGGGCTTCTTTTCAGAGGAATCTTGGGGATACCCTCTCCCTTACACACAAGCTATTTACAGCTTGTATACTTTACAGTGGGGGCTATGTCTGTGTGAGGTTTTTGTCCAAAAACATGTAGATGCTGCAAAGGCAGTTATAGAGTAGTAAAATCGTTGCTTGAAAACACAAAATTAAGCTTTTTAAACATCTAGCACTGAATGCCTCAGATCAGCAGAAACATCCCATCAAATTATCAAGGCATACCTTTCAAGAGAGAATCCTCCCTTTGCTCTGTCTCCATTAATGAAGGGAAGTAGGAATGGAGACACTGCTGGTGTCTCCTCCTATGTCAAGTACCGTGAAGTCAACTCTTACTATAAAGAGCTGTGGTGCCAAGTTCTTTGTTTTGCTTTTAAGAAGTGTAACATGAATAAAATTTAATTTCAGACTCCAAATGGATGCAAAATTAAGAACATATCCTTCTCCGTCTTCTTTTAGTAAGGGAAACCTACTAAGGTTTTTCAATTTCTTCCTGTCAAACAAGCCCTGGAGCCATGTGCCACATCTGCCATAGCCTGACCAATGTTGTAACACCTAATTTTGCAGAGGAGCTTTCACCTGTGCCTTCTACAATAACTCTGATGCTTGTCTTTCAGTGTTCTAGGCACATTTCTTCCACTGCTCTGTAAGGTGTCATCACAGGAAGTCATAACCCAAGCCATCCTGTGAGGAAGAAGATCAGGACCAGATCCCTGCCCCATCCCCTTTCCAGCTGACGAGGTGAACAGTCCAGCTCAGGCTGGACACTGGCCCTAGCAACACCATCTGTGCTGCGAGCAAAAGGACAGAAATCAAACACCAGGTGCCCAGGAAATGAATCCAAATAAACAAGGTTCTGTACTGGGTTTCTATGTCTCCAGTCTAAGTTTAGCTCTCACGTAAGACAGAAGTAAACATTTTAGAAAGGATACCAATGCAGCAAACATGAAAGTGCTCACCAGCATCAGCTGCTTAAAAAAATGTTTCAGACTACATGAACAGAGGGAAGGGGATACCATACAGATCTTCTTGGGTTTGGTGAAATTACAGTACTAATACAAAAGAGTCACTGGCCCTCACTTTCTCTGTTACAGAAGCTAGTGAATGTTACTGCCAGTGCTATCAATGAGAAAAGTCTTCCTAAGAAAATGGACACTGATTTATCTCCTGTCTGTGGCTGCTAATCTACCATAATTATCATTCCTTTTCCAGTCTGGCATCTACAGCTTCAGAAAGGTGATGTTAAGTTGAGGAAAGCTCACAGAGAATCTTAATGGCTCTCCAGTAGAGCCTTAATTAAAAGTGTGGGCATCTTGGCAAAAAGATTGTATCGAGTTACAGGTTTTAAAGAAAATTTAGAAGTAATTTGATTACATTCTCTAGACATCCATCACACTAATCAAGGGTCACTTTAAAATACACCACTTAAAGATAATATTATTCATCAGCTGAAAACGAAAACTAAATAACTTGTATCATAAGATTGCATAATTTTAAGGAGGAAATTTAAATTTACCATAGGGCCAGATCCCAGCTTGACAAACAGCAGGATTTTAATTTCAGGTAAATCTGGGAACATAAAATTTGTTTTCAGTCAACTCTGGTAACATCAGTGCAATTAAAAGACCCTCCATGTACTTTATTTTGAAGGCATAAAAGGTAGGAATAATTATTAAGTTTCTGAATGCCAAACTGAAAGAATAAAATCACATGGACAAACAGCATTCCTCCTAACCTGTCAAACCTCAATTTAATCATTCCATACCAAAATCAGTCACAAGAGCACCTTTGATTTCTATTATTCATCACAGGAGTTTCCATTTGCTGCTGTCACAGTTTAACCCGAGCCACAGCCAAGCCCACACAGCCACCATCTCTCTCCCCCACCACCAGGAATGGGGAGACTCAGAAGGGTAAAAGCTGGAAAACTCTTGGGTTGGCATAAAGGCAGTTTAATGGATAAAGCAACACACATTTGCATGCAGGCAAAGCAAACCAAGTAATTCATTCACTGCTTCCCATGGCAGGCAAGTGTTCAGCCATCTCCAGGAGAGCAGGGCTCCATCATATGTGATGGTGACTTGGCAAGACAAATGCCATCTCTCAGAAGATCCCCCCCTTCCTCCTTCTTCCCTCATTTTATATACTGAGCATGATGTCATATGGCATGGAACATCCCTTTGGTTAGTTGAGGTCACCCGTCCTGGGTGTGTCTCTAATTTCCTATGCACCCCCAGTCTCCTCACTAGCCTGGAAGCAGGAACAGCAGGACTCTGCTCTGTTAGCCCTGCTCACCCATAAGAAAAACATCTCTACTTTATCAACCCTGTATTCAGCACATATCCAAAACTCAGCCACTGAGAAGAAAATGAACTCTATCCCAGCCAAAACCAGCACAGCTACAAAGCACACTGCTGAGAATTGCTTACAGCAGCAAGACAGAGGGCACTAAAATTTGGAAACTAGCACGGTGTTAATATAAGGGAAAGGGGACTGAAGCTCTTGAGAGAAGCCAGAGACTTCCGGTATCCTACAAGAGGGTGTTCTCTTGAAGCTTCCATCTGCCTAGTTTTTCCCTCTGTAATTACCATATTTATCCTTATTTTCCTCCCACTTCACTCTTTCACTCAAGTTTATTTAGGTCCTGATGAATGAATGGCAGGAGTTAATACCCATAACACAGAAAAATAAAAAAACATGATAGAAGAGCAATCTACAGTCCTTTACCCACTTACACCCTGAGACTGAATATAGTCATCCTGTGGTTAGTGATCCACCTGCCTTTGCCCATTTCTCTTCTGCCTGGTGGTAAAAAACCCTAACACAGGTGTGACACAGTATTTGATCAATTCCAGGGCCATGCAAAGCAGAGTTCTTTATTCAGGTCTGTACTGCTATTGAAACACCAACTTTCTTTTGAGGAGAATTTCCTCAGGGTCCTGAGCTGTATTTGTCCATTAAACCACATTATCGCTTTTGCCTGTGGCAGCTGCCCTGCTGAAAAGCAATTTTTTCCAGATCCAGCAAATAGATAATAGCTCCCAATGGTGAATCTTTCAAAAACGGAAGTTAGTGATGTGACCCAGTAAATACCTATGCCTTATATTAAAACAACAACAACCTCGAAAATTTCAAGGTGGGGTTTTATTTCTCTAAAACTCTGCTTTACTCTCCAAGTGACAATGTCTTACTAAAGGAAAGATTCCAGTAAAGTTGCTTTATTTAATGCTACTGCTACCTATAACTTTCCAGCCTTCAAAGGGAGTTTTTTCTCAAATAGAGAATGCAAAGGAACCCTCACTCACCTTCACTGGTAGGTTCACTGCTAGAGCAGAAAAATAAGAAACTGGTTTATTGACTTTTTTCCCCATAAAGCACTTGAATAATTTCAGACTAACAGTTTGCTCTGATTTTAAGACAATAATGTAAATGTTAGTCTTAAAGTCTAATTTAAAAAAAAAATTGCGTCAACAAAATTACTGTTCAGTTTCTCAGAGCGTGGCTTTTCTAGCTTTTTCGAATACAATAATTTTCAATTTTCTAAAGAGAATATTTTTATTGCCCTTTTATCATTACCTTGCTCTGGTTTATGCATAGTGAAACTATAAATGTATTCTTCTTACCCATCTTGACCTAAAACAAAAATGCAGCACCCTCCTTTGCAGCTATCTTTGATACAATTCCAAGAGCACACACAGACACGAAAGCATCAATTGGAAATGTTTCACTTTACTGCTTCTGCACTTACTGGCAAGCAATCCAATTCCATTTGCTAGCGATCCAACCCAAGCAGTCTTGCCTTTCCCTTCTCCAAAAGCATCCAGCCACTCTAAATACAAGACTCCCACCGCCAGCGGTGATCCATAACACAGGAACTGGGTGAAGAAGGAAACGACAACAATCACCCAGCCCCAGCCACCATCTGGTGGCTTCCGAAACACCATCTTGTCAGCTGGGTGCAGAGGCAAGGGCAGCACCTGTGCAAACAAAACCCAAAGAGAATAAAGCATTAGAAACGTGACTGACCAAGGGCTGTGAACACAAGGGAGCTGTGCAGAGAAGTGCACACTCAGGCACAGAGCCTGGGTTCAGCCATCCTTCATGAACAGCTGCAGCACAGCACACAGGCAATGGAAACTGGAACTACCATACTTGCACCTCTGCTAACAGAAAGACAGAACCCAAAGCATAATAAGTCATACATACAGCAGCACTGTAGGACAGAAAAGCATTTAGTTTGCTGAAGGCTAAGCAGGCTTTGTGAAAACTTCAGGCAATAATATCTGCCACAGTTCAACAAAAGAGCCCCATGGTCAACTGCTGTTAAAACCATGAATATCAAAAAAGGAGCAAAAAATTTCTACTCAGTTCCCATCTCAGCAGAGTATTTTGCCATTTTTAAGGTGTTTGCCACCACATAGTGCACTCTGAAAGGGGCAGACCAAGAGGAAGACTGACATTTTGGCAGTAGTAACAGTTAAGTACTCTGCTCTGTCAACAAAACGATGCATAGAGAGCTGCATCCAAAAATCACTTTGAATATATTAGTGAAGTGAGCTCTAAGACTGTGTACAGGTGTGGCTTATATGCCAAGACATGATAGCAGCAAAATGCACACAAAAATCTGCTACAACCTGTTAGAGTGTCTGCCCTCTGTGCAGTTGGAACACATCAGCCTTCCCCAAACTGGCAATCACCTCCTGGACTCCAGAAATACCACCTTGCTGCTTTGCATGGCACAATCCATCAGCTGTGTATCTATGGCTTTAAATAACCCACCACCCTCACATCTTCTCAAAACAAGCATGCGAATGTAGGGATCAATATTTCTAAAATCTAGCAGATTTAGAGGTTTTCCAGGCTACATTGCGTTGGAGTCTCCCTGTGCACACAGCCAGCCTGCTCTCCCTCTCTAAAGAGAGCAATCTGCCCAAGTGATGATCACAAAACACATGCTCTGCTCCTGGCTCTGCCACTAACCCGATATATGATTCTCAACAGTTTTATTTCCTTCACCCTGGAAGATAGAAAGAGATAAGATCTTACCCTATTTTCTTCATGAAATATTCTCGGGGACCATCTCCACACTGCAGCTTAAGCATTAAGACTGCTGCAGTAACAGCTCTGCTCTGGGAGACTCCCAAGAGGCAAAGCAGAAAAGTAAATGCTTTGTGCTGCCTTTTTGACTTAGGAACCCAGAGGAAATGGAAAAAAATTACTGCTGTATGAAAGCAATGGGGAAAAACAAGCAGACGATAACAGAATTCCCACTTGAGCTCCTCACACCCTTTTCTTGAGCAATTTTTTAAGAATTTGCATGGAAAACTTAACAAAAACCCTAAAGCATAAAATTTTGAGGAATTGTATAGACACATGAAAAAGGCCAGTTCTAATTTACAGATGCACTTAAATGTTACTTTGAGAGTAGATACTCACAGATGATGGCAAAAATCCGTCAGCTTCCTATAAATGTACCTTCATGTGACAACTACCTGCAGAAAAAGAACAAAGCAAGTTTTCAGCCAATGTATCACTGCAAGAGTTAACACAACTCTGAAAAAATGGTGGCTTCACATGAAATTTCTTCTTTTTAAAATCTTCTCAGAGGAACTTCAGAAGCAAACAAATTATCTCAGTGGAGAACTACTGATCCTCTGCAATTAATTAACATCTGACAGCAGCCTTGAGCCCTCAAACAACAAAAACATCGCCTACTCATGTAAAATACACTTTGACATCCTGGGTCCTTTGGGAGTGATTTACAATTTTAATATACTGACTGTCCTTGAAGATACAACATTCCCAGTTATAAATGTTAAAAAGTTATTGTTTAAGCTTATAAATGTAAGCAGTGACTTACTACAATGCCTGGTGAGCGTATTTCTATTTCTACATGAAATATTTGAGTTATTTGAATGCAGTCCCCAAGAGCTGACCTATGTATCTCTCCATAAATTAAGTAATTATCACTTGGCTTGTTTTGTCCCTGCCTAGAGGAAAAAATAGTGGAAATAAGTAACAGCTTTAAAAGCGGACAATGACACAAACCAAGGAAGTTTTCAGAAAAACTCTACAATAATGGAGGTAGACAGTGAATAGCCCCAACTCACATTTACTTAAAAAATAAACTTTACAAAACAAACACATTTTAGCTGTTACACTGATTTCCATTATATTGATGCCCTAAAATTTGGCACAAAGACAACTCTTGAGTTGAGTTCTGCTGCTCGAAACATTTGATGGGAAGAAAGCAAGGACTGGGCAGGAGAGGAAAAACGTTTTGTAGTCTTAGGTCACTTAGTCTCTTCTAATAGAAAGACTAAAAACCTCTGTATTAGTTTGTCACCTGTTGCAACGCTATACAGTATAACTGAATGTAATCAACTGCACCCTATTTACAGCAGTAGAAGTGCTGACCTTCTACATCCTGACAACTCCTATTTTGTATCACAGATCTCTTTGGCATCATTCAGCTAAAAACCAAAACTTCAGGCATCAAAACCATCTCTTTTCTCTGAATGCTCCAAGCCATTTACAGTCCACAACTGTCAAGCAAAAAGTAAAAAACACCATCATTTCCCCACCAGAAATCATCCTCAGAGGAATAACAGATCTATACAATCCCAAGGTCTGTTTTTAAATTACCTGACTTTCCCTTCCATTCTCCTCCCTTTCCTTCCCTTCCTGTTTTTGCAGGTTATTCCTTCACCTCACACTGCTGTGTGCCTGATACCTAAACTGAGGTATATTCTAACTCCCCTGAAGGCTCAAGGTGACAGAGAACAGAGAGCTGCCAGACCTGTGTGAGGAGCCTGCTCCCCAGAGCCCTCTGCTATGACAGTTAACCATGTCCTGGACAACCAAGCCACTGCTGGGACCATGGATATCAATCCACTCTCTATTGGCACATTATTTAATGCTTCTCTGAAAGTGGCAAGTTGTACTGTAATAGCTTGCTAGCAGAGAAAAGAACTGACAGTGAGAATTGAACCTTCACTTGTATGGACATCAAATCTGTGCGTTGACTTGGGAGGGATCCAAAGTGCCTTTTACTATTTTATGTCTGTGTAGAAGGAGGACACAAACTGTAAAGACAAATGTGGACACCAAAAATTAAGAAGATGGAGCCCACACAGAAGGGAGTGTGGGGAGTTAATAGTTTTGGGGTTTTTTTCTCAGAACCAACCAGGAAGACTTGTGTGATCCTGTTAACAGATAAACAACCGTTCAAGATTCAGGATTCAGGTAGGAACAGTTTCACAAACCTTTCCATTCACTAAGCCTAGGGATATTATTTCAGACTCCAGGAAACCAAATTAAATTTAAAATACTGAAAAAGAGACATGAAACATAAAGAAATTAACAGTAACTTGAAATTTGGTGACAAAAAGCTTTTCAGTGAGTTGTACTCACTGCGAATAACAATCAGCGGAAGAGAGCTGCTTGATGAAAGCCTTTACCAACCACAACAAAAAGAAACCCTAGAGAACAAACTGAACAACAGTTTCAATGTGGGAAGAGAGAAGTGTCTGGCTGCAACTATTTGCTTTGCTCACAATACTGAACTCCCTTCCTATAAATCTTAGGATTTGGCTTAAAGATGACAGATGAGCACAAAAAAGGAATACGAGTACCACTGAAACATTAGTGAAACTCAGCACAGCAACTTCTGTTAATCTGTGGCAAAGGGAATCTTGAGAAAGACAGTAGCAATGTGATTGTTTCCATTTGTTCTTTGTGCAGCTGGAGCCTGGGTAAGTGTGTTGCTTTCTGCGAGCAGCACATGGCTGCAAAGAAAGCTGATGCCAGCAGAAACACTGCGTGATTAACACTGGGTTAGTCAAGTTTTGCAAAGCACTGCTACAAATCAAGACGGTACCAGCCAGAAAAGCAACATCCCTCATTTTAAGCTGAATCAGACTTCTTGTAAATTTCTTTTTATGTTTCAGGCAAGTTCTTGCAATTATCATCTGAAATTTCTGCTACTCTTAGCTTGCAAGTAGCACCTAGAACATAAGAACTGGCACATTATAATTGCTTTTAACATACTCATCATATCCAAATACCTGTACGTGTAGTGACACAACAGCATAAGTATTGTATTAAATTCACTGAAAGATGCATCTGTACTTTAATGACATCAGACTTCAACTGATGTTCTAACCAGAGCAGCTGCCTGTCTGACACTGAATATATATATATTTCCCTGCTGGTTGTCAATATTGAGGTCTGCCTATTTCTCACATTTTGCTACTTGCCTTTCTGTCAGTTAAGCAAGAGAGTTTCCTTCTGTTTCTGATGGCTGACAGAAATATGAAATTTAAAACAACAACAAAACTTGTAATAATACATAATAATGTTTTGCTATTGTGCAAAAGTAGTTTATATTAAGAAGCATCAGTGGGGCAGCACATAAACCAGTTAGCTTTGTACAAATCTGTCAGCTCGGGAGAACCAGTCCTACCTGTTTCCAGAGCCTCACTGCTCCAGAACAGATGGAAACCCCCCCGAAAGCACACCTTAGTGCCTGCCGGACACTAGCACGCATCCATGCAGGCAGGTGTGAGCCGGCACGGCTAAAAACCACCAGCAACATGATTTACCAGAGATGATCTCTGCAAAACGAGAGCACGATGTGCGCCGCCTTACGCATCACAACCGGCGAGGGTTCCCTTCGGCATCTGCTGCTTCAGTCCGTCCGTGCCCCTTGGCCAGGGTGTCCGTGGGGATGGATGGCCTCTTATAGCCCCCAGCTCGCCTCGCCTCTCCCCACGCCCTCGGGGACCAGCCCACAGCCCCACGTTACACATTGACGCCTTCACCTCCAGGCCATTTTCGACGCCGAGCGCTCATTCGCGCACCGACGCGCACGAGGAGGTGACTGAAGGTCGTCCTCGCCGTCCCGATGCCACACACGGTCGAGCCACAGTGCCCTGCTCCGGGGCAGCCGCAGCCGCCGAGGTGGCACGGGGCGCCTGCAATGGGCACACACGGAGGCTGGTGGGCTCCCGCCACGGGCACGCACCGATGGCGACGGGCGCCCGCTGCCATGTGCCCGCGGCAGGTGTTTATGTCGCACACCGCCCAGTGCCCACTGGATGCCAACAGGGCACACCAGGGGGCACCGCAGCCAACACTAAGGGGTGGTCGTCGATGGGCACAGCGAGGGATGCGCTCACCCGGGTCGGTGGCACGATCCGCTCCTGCTCCTTTTCCCGAAGCCTATCCCCGGAGACCGCGCAGAGCCACCCCGGGCCCCCGACCTGGTCCTGCCGTCCCCCGCCTCAGCCCCCGGGGCGGCTCCCGCCGTAGAGCCGGGCCGGGCCGGGTCGAACCGGGGGGTAGCGGCCCCTGTAGAGGTTCTGGCCGGCCGGCCCCCGCCTCGCGCTCCCCTCGCCCGCGCCCCCCGCCCCCGAAGCGCGAGTCCCCCCGAGGACCCTGGCCCCATTACCTGTGGGCGGCCGGCCCGTGGGGCGGGGGCCCGGAGCCGCCCCCGGGGAGCCGGGGCAGCCCCGCATCGCTGCGCGGCGGGCGGGCCGCGGCCGGAACGAACCGGTTGTAACTCGGGCGGGGGAGGAGCTGCCGGGGGCCGCCACCGCCGCCGCCTCCGCCCGCAGCCCCGGCGCGGGGGGGCAGCCCCGACCCCCCGCCCCTCCGGGCAGGCGGGGCAGCCGCTCGGCTCGGACTCAGCTCCGCCACGGAACGCTGCCCTGTCCCGCTTCCTCTCTGCGGGAAGACCCCCCCCACCCCCTGCCCGGCTCTCGCCGGGAACAGGCGGACATGCGTCCCTGGGCGAGCATCGTCCCCAGCGTGGGGCCGGGCGGCCGCAGCGGAGCTGTGCAGGAGCCGCCCCCTTGCCCCGAGCAGCGGCGGGGGAGCGGCGCTCACCGGGTGTCCCCCGGGTGCCCCTGCCCGTCCCCAGCGCAGCCCCTCCATTCGCAGCGAGAGCCCGGCGCGGAGGTACGGTGACCCCCTACCGCCATCCCCCGCTCCGTGCACCCGCGCCGAGGCAGCCGCAGGGCCAGGCTCCGCCGGGCACACCGCCGCGGCTCGCAACCTGCGCGGGTCCCCAAGGCAGCGGAACGGACGCAGGACGGGGATGGGCGCTGGCTCCCGCCACCGGCCATGCCAAAAGGCCACAAACTTGCGCTGCAGACAGCGATGCAGGCAGCGCACATGCAGCACTGCAACCCCAGCCTACCAGCTCAGGGGAGAGACAACTCACTCGGGTATCAGCGCACCCACTGCCTTTAGAGGCCATCTCATCACAGTCCTGGCCCGGACCCGTGCGCATGGCACGTCTAGCGCTGTCAGACACGCGGCAAGGTAGTTGTCAAGTCGCCCAAGTTCAGCCACCTCCAATATTCACCCTCCAGACTGCAAAGGTTGTCGCAGAAGCTGACTGAACAGTCAGCATCAGCCTCTACCCCGGGCGTGTTCAGCGCGACAGCTCTGCTGCTACCTCTACACAATTAGAGCTCATGTAACCACGCACTGCAGGTGGAAATATAAACCAGTGAGATTGTGAGAGCTGAAATATTCCCAGACCTGAAATTCCGATGCAGCCTCAGATGTTCACACCCTCTGCAGTTCCTACAAGTATGGCATCACTCTCCTTTTCAGACCTGCAGCCCAGATTTACTCCTTTATGCAATATTTACAAAGGTTTGTGAACTTCAAATGTCTTTGATCCACATCTCACAGTGTTCAGTGTTCTGGTACTTGCTACTGGAAGGACTGACAGAAGAATGACATAAATTCAAGCTTCACGTCTAAGACATCTCAGCTGGCACACGGTAGTGTTGTGTATCTCATGTCGAAAAGGGCAGCCAACTGAAGGGGGCGGGTGGGGGGGAAGAAAGGAGAACGGGAACTCCGAGACCTCTAGAACACTGTTCCAGGGAGAAGAACTGAAATAAATGGCATTTAAACTAGAGAGAAGGCAGAGGGGAAACATAATAGCATTCCTCAAAAACTGTAAGAGGTTACCGTGAAGCAAAAGGAATGAACTGTTCTAATGCATATGCATTAGACAAGTAAAAGAAGTGAGTAGGCTTAAATTCCATCCCCAGGTAACTGCTACAGATATTAGGAAAAGCTGGGCTAGCTTGATGCTTGCAGAGATTTCTCTGAGAAGCATAGCATTTTGGGAACATGTGCACTGGGGCTGCTGAAACAAATGACTGAAGAGAGCTGCCCAAACAGTAAACAGCCACTGTTTACTTCGAGTGCTTGTTGGGCTTCAGGACACAGGCTGAAATTGAAAGGATAACTGAAATCTTTCCATAGCCACCCAAGAGATGGCTAGGAAAAAACAATTTTGAATTAACTGTCCAAGATGTGCTATTTCCTACACTTCAATACAAAACCATTTCGCAATCAAGTGCATATAAAGCTCTAGTTCCCATTACAGTGCTTGATACAGAAGCTTAAAAAACAATCTTGTAGGCTAAAATTAAATACTTCACTCTAGCAAAATTGGTTATGAATATCTGAAAAAACTAGTGTATTCACAAGTTCACAATAGTTTAGCTGTACAGGAATGTCCAGAAGAGTTAAGGCACATTAGTCACAGGAATACATTGACACACACTGGATCCATATGCAGAGGAAGCAAGCCCAGTCAGATATAAACCAAACTGAGTTCAGGTCACAGGCGGCTTTGGAC